TCTGCTCATTGGTTGCGAAACCCATGGCATCAGTTGTGTAACTAAATCCGGTTCCCACCGGACTATCGATATATAAAACTGAATAGTGGTTAACGTATAGCATCGCTGTGTGATCCTTGTTTAGATATAAGTTGTATTTAATAATCTATAGCTAAATAGAAAGCAAATCTAATCAATATAATATATTTTATAATTCATATTAACAATAATTATTACATTATTAAGTCGAAATATTTGCACTACATTTGGGTTCAATTTTTAAAAATCTCACTCACATTGTAATACATCATTGATTAGATGCTATCATTGGCTATCACCTATTCTTAACACAAATTAAACTTTGATTTACTATATTTCACTTCACTTTCCCCACAATTCGCTTCAAGTTTTAGAAACTTATAAAATTTAATCACAAGAATTATATTGTGCAAAAATATGCAATAATTATAACGTTAATTAATCGTTTCGTTAAGTGTTTATTAATTATTATCAATTTATATCAATCATATGTACTTTAGTAATATCTATAATACAAGATAAATGTCTTAATAAAAGAAAATACTTTTATAGTAAATCTCATTTGCAAATAATTGTATTAAGAATCGTATGAAAATTTATTTTAATATTATTAAAAAGTTATTTTAAATAAAAACAAAATGATGTTAAATATATTTAATAAAATATTTATATTTACAATATTTGTGATACAATTGTATGAATCGTATGATTGTCTCAAATGTGATCCGTTATTATTGACGCCTTTCATTGAATCCAATCGCTTAGTTGAGGCTAAAAGACTGAGTTCTGTCACAGAATTACCAAATGCTCACAACATTTCCAGTTATTCCGGGTTTTTAACAGTAAATAAAAAACTCAATAATAATCTATTCTTCTGGTTCTTCCCAGCTTTGGTATAAATTAAATTAATTATAAATCAAAACACATGTTAACTAATTTTAAATCTATTACAAAGAATAACGATAAGACAGCGCCTGTGATTCTATGGCTTCAGGGGGGACCGGGATGTTCATCAATGCTCGGCCTGTTCACAGAAATGGGACCCTTCAAACTGGACGATAAACTCAATTTGGTGGCCAATAAGTACTCGTGGTCTCAAAACTATTCAGTTTTATATATCGATAGTCCGGTGGGAACCGGATTTAGTTACACAACTGATGCCATGGGTTTCGCAACCAATGAGCAGAATGTGGCCGAAGATCTCTATAACGCTTTGCAACAGTTTTTCAAACTATTCGCTGAATATAAAAACAACGAGTTTTATGTGACGGGAGAGTCATATGCGGGAAAGTATGTGCCGGCGATTGGATTCAAATTACACCAAATGTCGGCCACTTCTGGCATCAACTTCAAGGGTATATCCATTGGGAACGGATGGATAGATCCGCTGTCAATGTTAGACGTCGGCTCCTATTTATATCAAACGGGACTCATCGACAAAACACAATTAAATCATTTCTATGACATACAAAACAAAACCGCAGTTGACATCAAACAAAATAAATATCGCGAGGCTTTTGACCTTTTTGACCAACTCCTTGGTTTGTATAACGTTTTCATTCATACTGTTATTGTTTTTAACATTTTGTAATTATTTAGGCGGAGATGTGACGAGTGAATCGTATTTTACAAAAGTTACCGGTTTTCACTATTATCTCAATATTTTGCAAAGTAATGAACCGAAAGGTGCCGACGATTTTGCAAAGTTTTTAAACTTAAACACCACTCAAGAGGCCATACATGTGGGCTGTACTGCATATTCGTCGACAAACACAACAGTTTTTACTTCTCTAACCGAAGATGAATTTTCTTCAGTCAAGCCCTGGTTTACAACACTTATCGATAATTATAAAGTACTCATATATAGCGGTCAATTGGATATTATCGTTGCCACGACTCTCACCGAGAATTTTCTTCAAAGTTTAGGTAATATTTTTATTGAATATAAAAAGTTTATTTGATTTCATTGTTTTATATAAGAGTGGAAACATTCAAAAGAGTATTCAAAGGCCAACCGATTGGTCTGGAAGTTAGATAAGGGAGACACAGAAGTGACCGGTTATGTGAAACGTGTGGCAAACTTTACCGAAGTTATAGTCCGAAATGCTGGACATATGGTGCCTACGGATCAGCCCAGGGCTGCGCTCTCTATGATTGATAATTTTATTAGAGACTTACCATTTGAATAACTTTTTAAAGTTATAAACTATTTATAAGTCAATAAAACATGAATGAACATTTAAATTTTATTTAATTAATTTTTATATTAAAGTAAAAATGCAATACATATTGAATTATATTTATATAAAATATATAATTTAAAAATTTATAAAATCACAGATCAATGCTTTGAATCACAGGTTATTAAAGGCTTATATTATAGTATTTGTGTTGAGATAAACGCCTATAAATGGTGTCATATTTTGTTAATTGGAAATAATTTGTGGATAATATGCTTGACTTCTATATTGAGATATCTTTCAGTGGTTTTGATAAACAATAATCTCTTTTACAGCAATTGATTGAATGATTTAATCAGAAATGAAGACCAGTTTCGAGAGTTTTAATCCGATTTACGGATCCGATTGAGTTGTTGTTATCTTTGGCATTGAATTGCATTAAATTGAATTCTTCGTGGGATTTATCCATAGATATTGAGCTCAAAGATCCCGTAGTATTACCGCTGCCCTCACAGTTGTATCTGTTTAATACAATTGACTTAATATTTATTTTACAAATATACCATTATGTATAAAAAGCGTGTACTTATGCACTTCATCATTGGCGACACCATCTATCTCGTTTTTATCCAAATGATCCCGAATTATATCCGCCAAATGGTTGTGTGCCATCAATTTGACAGAAACTAAATTATAAAATTCAATCAAATTATATATTTCTCACTATATTTATAACGAAAATTTTCTATTTTAAACACATATTAAAACTTAATAATTTTTATTTAATTATACCGTAATCTATAACATCTATAACATTACTCTGATTTAGTAAATGATTTAGACTTAACTGTGATTCGCATAATTGTTGTGTTTGTTATATTTGTCGACACAATTGACATCATTTATTTGTATCCTAAGAGATGTCATATCATAGGCTTTGATGTCATCCTCTCCGCCCTCATCGGTATAGCGAACGATATTCTCTCTCACGTCGTCTTCAGTCGAGTCGTTGGCCTTCTTATGTCTCTTACGGTCTCTTCGGTTATAACGCGAGTAAACAAATATAATGATGAAAAGCACTACCATTTGGGAGACAAAGAGTTAATCACTAAATGAATAATTTGCCAAAAATCAAAGGCAGACATACGCGGGATATTAATGGCACACAAAGTAATGGCAGCAATGGCTGTAGTGTTGAGCTGGAAGTAGTGTTCAGACAAATTGTTGCACTCATTGTGCGGACACTGACACTGATAGCTGAGCGCCGGGTCCTCTGAATGCTGACCGCATTTGCCATTACATGCATTACGAGTGCATTCCGTGTCTTTCGTACAGTTGGTCGCGTCGGCTGTCATTCTGTATCCTTTCGGACAACTATTTTGGGTTTAGAAGAAAAACATATAAGAAATTATTTATGAAATGAATGAGACGTTAAACGTGTGTTTCAATGAATGAAATATTGTTTTCGTTTGATTGCAACGAAATATTCTTTACGAGAGAGAGAGAGAGCGAGAGCGAGAGAGAGAGAGAGAGAGAGAGAGAGAAGACGTGAGAGAGAATATCGTTCGCTATACCGATGAGGGCGGAGAGGAGAGAGAGAGAGAGAGAGACCAGACCTGCACTTATGTTTGAGCCATAAATCAATGCAAACGAATGGCTGCTGACAAGAGATGGTCTGACAGGGATTGTTGGAAAGACAGCCATCGATCACATGACGCCATTCCACTATTGATGATATCTCGGATGAATTCTCGGCCAGAGGTATATACTGTCCATCAATTCGTATGTCATTAATACAGCCTTTCATCGCAAACATACAAAAAATCGTTAATAACTTAAATTATATATTCTGTACATTAAAAAGTATTTCTCAATCATTTAATTAGATTATAATACAAAACACACATACCGTCAGCGAAATCATTGTTGACAACATTGGCCCCAACGCCCAGATAATGAACATCACCGCCGACCACAACATTACTCTTGTCATAGTATAGCAACTGATCCGTTGCGTTAAAGTCCGTAATCGTGGCGATCCTCTTAACGCCTCCGCCGTCGAGTGCCATCAGAGCTGATCCGCCAAATCTGGTGACGCGGACGTCATGCCAGTGGCCATCACTCACGTCAAGCCAATTAAGTGACACAACTTTTTCGTGCATTTCATGCAAACGATTCAAATTGAAGCGAAACCTAATCTTCGAGTCGCGTATTTCGATAACGCAATACTGTTTGCGATCTCTGTTTGACAGTCGGATCAGCTCTGCGTGCGATTGACGGCTACGGAAGCGCAGAGATATAGACGTCTGGAATGGATTCAAATCCAGGGAAACGCTTAGTTTAGCAAAACTTCTGGCTTTAAACATCTTGGTCTGTGTGGGCACATCACAGTTGAATCCGTGCCAACCGGGCCTACACTCGCATCGGGCGGTGTTGTATGAGCCCAAACACTGGCCATTCACGCACTGTTTGCCCAACAGATTACACGTCGAAACACCTATTGGTTCGCAAAAACAATGACAAAATACACGTTCAGGTTATTAAGAGTATCGTTTGATAAGCGGTTTTGCGTTATGAGTGTCTGTGTATTACCGGCCGGACATCCGAGCGCTGTATTGACAGAATGCGGAACATTATTCATATCGTATAGAAAGCCGTTGTGAACGATATTCTTGATGCAGCCGTTGAAGCCGAGAGTCGTGTGTTGGTATCGCCAGTTGTAATGCCTGTCTAGCGAGTGGTGGGCGACACCTCCCACCTGGAGGGGTGCGTTCACATTCAGTAATTCATTATATAAGGGAATATAACTCATGTTTTCGCATCGATTTCTATCAATTGTGACAACTTTTGTGTCATATATAAGACTATCGATACACCGATCAATCATTAGACGCACGGACTTTGTGTCAAACATGATATCAATTGTATGCCATTCGCCGTTATTCAGCGGATGAGGGCTTTGAACCATCAGCTCCTCAGCGCCCGAACCAAAATCATACAGTAGTCGTGCCCTTCCTATCAATACACACAACATTTACACACATTTTTATATGCAAACAGTTATTATAATCGCATTTAGATTTTCATACCATTTCTCAACTCAAGAGACATGAAATCAGTGATAATCGTATTAAACGGAGAGCTCTCTGGAGGTGGAGATAGGGGTCCGAAGTAGAAGATGAGTCCGTTTGACATTTGAGTCATGAATTGCAAACTTATATGAGATTCACTGCATTGGGAGAAGCCCTTCAACCACAGCCATCCCTCACCGTTGAAGGACCGGCTCCTCAGTTGACATTCCGGGCCATCCATATCGTGAGGACAGTCACACCTAACGTAGTTTGAATGGTCTGATTGGACACAAGTGCCGCCATTGAGACACTTGTGGTGAGCGCACGACGAGTCCCGGGAAGCGCGGGTCGGCTCGTAATCGCAAACACAGTTGGCTTTTGTCCGCAGATTAATGCCCACCAAAGAAGTGTAGTTTCCGTTTATAAGGACATCACTCGACTCGTCCAACACGTGTTCAGTCGTACAACTCGTTGACTCGCATTCGTGTCCCTCTTCTCCCAAACATTCATTGATTCCGATTTGCGTTATATTAAGCTATCGTACAATCATTTTGTTAGAATTTTTTACAATCAAATAAATTTCAAAGTATTTCGTTATTGATTATGAAAGTAAGAAAATAGAGAGAAAAAGAGGAGTTGAATGAAGTCTTACCTCTAACTCGCTCTCAAGAATCGCTCGGTTTTGAAGAACCACTGAATTGAGAAAAACTGATGAAAGAATCAATGAATTCCTTTTTGCATAATATCTGACGTCAAGAATCAATGGCTTCTCCTCCTGTCTCTCAATAAGACTGAAGATTTCAATTTCATCACATCTGATGACACGTCTGATCGAGTCTTTCATCCTTTCGTAAAGACTTTTGATTTGTTGTCTTGTTTTCCAATTCCAC